GAAAAGGGAAAAACCTGAGTTTCCAAATATTTAATAAACAGGATAATTAGTATCAACTCATGAAGTTTGTTAGCTATCTTAAATGCTAGAAATTTTTTCTTTAAACCACTGATATTCAAAACTTCTCTAATTAAAATGCTGTGATAGGCCTAGAATTTAAATTATTCAGGATACATAGTCCCTTTTATACTCATTATATAATATCCTACTCATATAGTTGTTCCATAAATACTTTTTAAAAAAAATATTTATTTATTTATTTATTGAAGAACTGGGGTATAGACCAGAGGTGTGTGGGGGGGTGAGAGAATTCACCAGAGATAGAGTGGGGAACAGAACAGAACAGGGGAATAGCGGGGAGACAGGAGAGGTCTGCTGTGCCACATGTGGGTTGGCTCCCTGGCAGGGGATGGAATTCAGGCCAGAGTGGTCATAGAATGACAGTGCCTTGACTTAACCCCTGCACCACCAGAGAGGCTCCATAAATGCTTTTTGAGTGAAGAACTCATTTTCTGAAAATACCTGCACTCTAGCTATATGGCTTGCAGTCCCCTAAGAAACTATGCCTTTTCTCCTTTGTGTCTTTCTGTTTCTCTGTAGGGATTGCCCCACACCACTGAGTGGTATGCTGGGAATCCTCACTTGACTATTCTTTGGTATAAAGGACCTGTGCCAACTTTCTTGGTAGTTGTGCCTGATACATAATAGATACTGTTTATCTATTGAGGGAAAAATAAATAATCAAAGCACAATATCCAAAATGATTTTCAGGAATTCTGTGAATACTAAGTGAAATAATAATAAGCAAATATAACAGAATACTAGGTAACAAGTTCTAAAGGCAATGTTATCATCACGACATTTCAGAGAGATAATTATTAGCAACACTATATTATACAAAATAGGAGACTGAGACAGAAAGAATTACTCTTTCATGATTCATATCTGTGCATAAAATATTCAGGCAAGATTCAGCAGCCCACATATTGACCATACTACTTCCAATGCATAAAAAAGCATTTTTCAAAACCCTTTACAAATGCAAACTTTTAAGATTTATATGGTAATTAGACACAAATTGATAGTTATAGTTATCATTTCACTTAAAATTTCTGCAAAAAATTTTGAACACCAGAGAGAGGCTGAAGGGCGATTTTCATTAAAAGTATGCTTAGTTAGCAACTGTCTAGGGTAGTGAACATCTGTGCTTTTTGGTCCACTTCCTCTTCAGTAAAGCATCTTAATTTTATTTTACAGTACCAAAACCCCCTGCTCTAAGCTATTTGGTCAGGATGAGGCCAACTTCCTTTCATTCTCTGTTTTCCAGGAGTGCACAGGTGATTCATGACTGGACAAACATCACCTTCCAACTCTGGCCACTATGCGTGGTTCAGGGATGGGCCTATGACCCAAGTAAGTCAATGAATAAGACTCATGTTCATTGTTTAAAATTGAAAGAGTCCACAATAAAAAAATAAATAAAAATAAAATTGAAAGAGTGAAGGAGTGAGAAAATCAAAGAGGGAAGAGGTAAACCTGGAGCGGGTAGAATCACTGAAGTCATTGTGAAGACTTTCAAGAAGTGATTTATCAACAGTATGAAATTAATATTTGAATAAGTCTTATGTTCTTTAAACTAATACCAAAAAACATAAACAAGATATTTTATTCACTCCAGGTAAATATAACTTCAGTCATGTTCGATTGTCCCCAGCAGGACCTGTATCTGTGTAAATAGGCATCTTATTGATATTTTTTAAAAAGAGAAGGTAGGTGACCTCATTATTTTCTCTTTTTACAGCAAAGATTTCCTTTTAGGGATTTTTTTTCTCTCAAGAAAATACTGAATGAGTCAGGGTGTTAATCTGTTTTGCTCTAGTAAGTCCTATTTTCTTATTATAGAGATGTTTTTCAAAGTGGTAACGATTGCCTCGCTGAATGGTAGTGAGTTATTTTTATTCATTTATTCATTCAACAACTTTTCATCAGGCTTCAGATATGCAGCAGGCATTATAGCAGAGGGTGAGATTCAAAGTTGTTCCCTAGACTAGAATATAAGCACCATAGAGCGCCTGACTCATAACCTGGTGTTAGCAGACATTCAATATTGGATCACATTATCAGAAATATATGGATATATTTCTATATTAATTTAATAACGGTAGCTTCTGAGAAACCATGCTTCACTTTCAGGTATTTACTGTGACTCAATCCTGAGTTGAAAGCTTGGGCATTTGGATTTCTTTTCCTTATGGTGGTTATTCTTCATAATGTCTCAGTTTAATACTATCTATTGAATATTTTTAGTAGTTCACAATGAAATCATTAATTATACTTTGTATCAATACAACTTTGAATAAAGATGCTGGAGTGACACCCTGATACCACAATAGACCAATTGTGTTCCCTATTATTTTATTAGTTTTAGTGAGTTGAATGACGGTTTCTCTTAAAATATGTCTATATCCTAACCTTAGAACCTGTGAATATGACTTTATTAAAAAAATAAAAAGGTCTTTGCAGATGTAAATAAGAAAGGATCTTAAGCTGAGATCATCCTGGATTATCTTGATGGTCCTATGGCAAGTGTTCTAATAAGAGACAGAAGCGAAAAAAACACAGACACACAGAAAAGTCCTCATGAAGAAGGAGGCTGAATTGAGTGATGGAGCTACAAACGGTGAAATTCTGGAGCCACCAAAGGTGACGGCACAAGGAAGGATTCTCCCCTAAAGCTGAGTTAGGGAATGTGTACCTGATGACATCTTCAGTTGGGACTTCTGGCTTCCAGAACAGTATTAGAATACATTTCTGTTGTTTTGCCTTTAAATTTGTGGTCATTTGCTAAAGCAGTCCTAGGAAACACAAATCTAGTTCATACCAATAATCTAATTAAAAATTCTCTTGCGTTGTTTTATTTCATAATAATTTTGAAAATTCAGTATCTCCTCTCCAATTCTTAAATCCATTCAAAGAAAACATCACTCTATTTGTTGAGGTTTGATGAAGATCCAAAAGTTGGTGCTTCTGGGTTATTTTTGTCTGCTGCAGATGCCCCAGAAAGTCTATTCAGTGCACAAATGCTACATTTCTTTTTTTTTTTTTTTTTAAGATTTATTTATTTATTTATACAAGGACCGGGGTACAGGCCAGATGCACGGGAGGGATGAGAGGATTCACCAGAGACAGAGTGGGGAACAGAACAGGCAGACTGACGAAATACACTGCTGAAGGGAGCAGCGGGTTTGACGGGAGAGGTCTGCCGCGCCAAGTGGGACCATCGCTGGCAGGGATGGAACTTGCGCTGCAGCGGCTGCGGACAGCTTCACAGTGCTGCGCTCAACCGCCTGCGCCACCAGGGGAGGCCCAAACACTACATTTCTGAAGAAAGTAGCCTCAATAAGTGGTCTGGAGATCCTAATGTTCTTCAGAAACAAGACACTGGTTGTTGGGGGGATAGGTTTGTGGGAGAAAAGTTCCATTTACAAAGCTCCAGGAATTGGCAAAGCAGGTCAGCCAAGGAGCCAGGAGACTTTGCTTCTGACCCTATATAAATACTTCTTTTTTTTTTTTCTGTTAATTTTTTTTTAATTAATAAATTTTATTTTTATATTCCCCATACAATTGCAATCCCCCCATTCTGACCCCAATCCCTCCCTCCCGCCCCCCACCCCCAAAAAGTGTCTCTGGTTCATAGTTTTTGTTGATTTTGATTTTCACTTTCTTATAGTTATTCATTTTCCTGGTCCCTTATTTAAGTATTCTAGATTCCTGCTATGAGTGAGACCATCCGGTATTTTTCTTTTTCTTTTTGGCTTATTTCACTGAGCATGATCCCTTCCAGCGCCATCCATGTTGCTGCAAATTGCATGCGTTTATCCTTTTTGAAGGCTGAGTAATATACTATGGTGTATATGTACCACATCTTCTTGATCCAGTCATCTATTTTTGGTCATTTGGGCTGTTTCCAAAGAGACAATAACAAAAACAAAGAGAAACCCCACCAACTGGGAGAAAATTTTTGCACACAACACTAATGATAAAGGACTGATCACAAAAATCTGCAAAGAGCTGATGAGACTCAACAACAACAAAGAAAATAATCCAGTCAAAAAATGGACAGAGGACCTATATAAATACTTACTTGTTTGTCTCGCCCCCTTCTCTCCTTCTGTCCCGCCATTACAACTACAACGTAGGGAACGAGACCCTAGTATATTATCTGGAACACAGTAGGTCCTCAATAAGAATATATTAATAAATTCAGCGAGTGCATATTTTGAGTGGAGAACAAGAAAATGTCTCTTTACTTTGAGGCTGGAATCAGATTGTTCAGATATTATTTTTTTTTTACCTGCTACGTCAACTGTCATTGAATTTCAAGATTAAAAGAGAAGTAAGAGGTTATTTAGTCCAAGCCCCAAGAATACCCTCTTCAGTCTTCTCGATCAGTAAGACCAACATGCTTGGCTGAAACATCCTTGGTGACAGGAAACTGACAACCTCACCACTTCAGTTTGACTGCTGGGTGTTTTCCTTTGTCGTTTTCCCGTCCCATTTCGCTTTCCTGTCCTACTTCTCCCAATTGCTGTCCTCTTTATTGTCGTATTTTGCTACATTTTGATCCAGCTAAGGTGGGAACACAGGACGCTCCTCAACGCCTAGCTCAGGGGCTGAACTGCTCTAGCTGAACTGCTACACGAAGTGGCGGCGCCGCATTTCAGCGGGTTGGTGTGGCCTCCCGGGGTCCGGGGGCCTCCTCCTCAAGTTCCCGCTTCTCCTCCAGGCCCGCGACCACGCACAGAGGCTGGCCCGCCACCTCCCGCGTCACCTGCGCCGCTGCCCTCCCCGCTTGGGGTTCGCTCCCTCCTCCCTAGCAGTGGCCGCGGGCGTCGGCTGTGCGCGCGGGTGGCCGCCCACCCGGCTCTTCCCTCCTCCTCATCACCCCCCTCCCTCCCCTCCGGCCCTCCGCCCTCCGCCCTCCGCCCTCCTCCATCCGGAGAGCAGCCCCGCGTTCCGCGAGGAGTTTGGAGTCGCCCTGCGAGGCGCCCACAACCCGCTCAGCGCTTGCCACGCAGGTGCGCGGGCCCCGGTGCCGCCGTCATCGCAGCTTTCCGCCGGGATTGGACTCGGGCTTCGAGGTGGGACCCGCTCTTCTCTCCTTCACCCCGTGTTACATCTCTTCCCGCTCTCGGGAACTCGTAGAGCCGGGTTCTGGGGCGCGCGTCGTGGCGCGGAGCTCGCGGGCCACTTGGGGACTGGCAGTCCGGGGCTGGAGCGGCGCGGACCGGGAGCGGGTAGCTCCAGCGGGCGCGGGAGGCGCGGCGGGAGGGGTAGGGCTCTGGGGGTCCCCGCGGACTGAGGCTCGGGAGGCTCCCTGGGCCCGGAGGACCCGGGCGCATCGCTGTGGGCAGCCCGCAGAGCCTGGGTGCACACCTGCCAGGCGCCGCTGAAAGGACAGCCAACTTCTTTTTCAGGTCTCCTTGCCACTTTGGAAACTGAAGGGACCGCAGCGTCAATCAGTAAGCCCTGGGGCCGGGAGGAGGGAGCCGTTGCTGCCTTGGGGGGTGGTTGGGACTTGAGCTGCTGTTTTCCGCCCTACACCCTTTCCCCAAGCAAATTAACAAAATAAAACAGCAAAACCCCAGCCCAACCAAAGCATTCTTTGAAGGAGATTTATAGAGGTAAGAAAGACCCAACCAAGGAATCCCTTTGGAAACCCCAGGTATGATGAGATTGTCTGAGAAACTTTGTTTATTGAGCTGCTATTTCTAGGATTTGTGTTCGCAAACAAAAGAGACTGGCTCTAGTAAGCCTCAGTAAGCCTCAGGGGGATCCTTAAATTGTGGGATTGTCCTCTGTTAAGATTCACTTCCATAAGTATTAAAGTATTTTGAAACAAATCATGTTTCAGAGCTCTGGGCTTGGAGGCAGAATACTTAGAGTTTGGTATGATTTATCATTTATTATCTATTTTGCCGTTGACTTGGTCTCTCTTGGACTCAGTATCGTCATCTGTCAGATTAATGGGCTGCTTTTAGATTGCGAGGGCCTGTAAATAAGATCTAAGATGTTCCCCAAATTAAAAATATGTAACTCTTTAACATGTTACAAACATTACTAGGTTTGTAACACCATGATTTTAAAAAAATCTATATGAATCCTGTCATTTTGTTTTACACGTATTTATACTTATACTTCTAAGGTTTTCCAACCAAATATTAAAGAGAAAAATATTTACAAAAAATATTTACAAAAGAATTCAGAAATATAATGCTAATCTGTAAATATTTGATCATTTCTCATTCTACATTGAAGAATTATGTGCCACTTTAAGCCAGCATTTGGCAACACTGCAACAAAAAAATGTGACTTTAGCATAGTACTTACTCCCTATTGTCTATTTGGAGGAACTAAAAGTTGTTTTGGAGGAAAAGAAAAATTGTACCTTTTCTGTTAATTATTGCTTGTGAGCAGTATTTGTTACGTTTTAGCATAAAGTTGTGTGCAGAATAGTAAAAAAATGGTTTCAGACCACTTCAGAGCTTCTCTGAAATTAAGCTCAATAGCAGAGATGCCAGTTTTAGAAATGCGTTTTAGTTGTCTTGGAATGAATCCCAGAAAATAGCAGAGGTTAATTAAACAGATAAACCAGAAATTAGGAATTGACACATGCACACAAAATTGTACAAGAAGTGTACTATAAAGTGTCAGTGAACTTTTTGTTTACTGTTGATAAAAAAATCAAACAACAAACAACTCTTGGCTTATTTAAGCAGACAGAATTTAGACTAACTTTTGTTGTTACTTGTGTTACTAGCAGTTAGGATAGTTTTAGAAGTTCTCTGCCTTTTAGGTCGTTTTGATCTAAAATACAACCAGGTGTTCCCACCCAGCATGTGATTTGTATGCAGTTTGGGAAAGTGGAATGATTTGAAATACTCTTTTAGGAACACATCTTGACTTATTTTCAGTGCCTTGTTGCCTTTGGCTTGCAAGTGTCATTGATAATTAAGGCAGTTGACATCCTCATAATCTTTGGTGAGGTAGATAGATGATCATCTCCTTTGAAACAAATGCTCAAAGAGTTAAGTAAACTGGTAATTGAATGAATACAGCGTAGTTGAACTCAGATACCCTGGCTCCTAGGAGCTTGTTGAAAACTGAAAATGTTGGAGTGATCGGCTCACTGTCCATGGCCAACTCATTCATGGCTGGGAGCGGCATCACGGTTGGCAGGAATTCCGTTCCTCTTTTGTAATGTGTGGCCTTACTCTCCCATGAATTTACCAAGAAAAAAACAATCATGTCTTCACACTTAGATCAGTATTATATAACCAAATGATTTGTGTTTGTGAACTGTAGCATCTCAGTGGCGGTCTTGGAAATGGAACTCTAAAATATCCTGGGAAAAAACACAATTGTCTTGGCAGATACTGTACTGCATTTTTCATACTGAGAGCCAAACACGTACACTAAAAAAGTATGTCCTGTGGAGTTAAAAACGAAGAAAAGGGCTTACAGTCTGCTCTAATTCTTAAGATTTTATATGATTTACAAATTCCGCTTTTAATTAAATCAGAAAGGCACAAATGTCACCAACTGATTAGATTTGGGGTTTCAATTCATAGTCTACTTATAATTTGGGGTAATCTTTCTTAGATTTTTTTTTGAACTTTTGTGACTCCAAAGTGATATTATCTGTTGTCTTTTCACACACCTGGTCTTATTAATTTTTAATGTTTTTACACTTTGAATCATAGTATTTTGTTGGGAGAGGTACAAAAAACAAATATAATAAGTAATATCACAAATCATTATAACACATCATTATCAGGCAAATACCCCTCTTTTCATGATGCAGAAAGAGAACATGCCAACACCTAGAACCTTTTGCTTGTTCCTTCCTGACCACAAGCTAAGTTTTATATTTAAAATTTTTTTTAAGGATTTATTTATTTTATTTTATACAGCACTGGGTACAGTCAGAAGCGCGGGAGGGTGAGAGAATTCACCAGAGCCAGAGCGGGGAGCAGAGCAGGCAGAAGGACTTAAGTACACTGCTGAGGGAAGCAGCGGGCGGCAGGAGAGGTCTGCGCGCCATGTGGGACCCTCCTCTGGTGGCTGGGGAGCAGCCGGGGATCAAACCGGCGCCGCAGAGGCCGCGGGCAGCTTCGCAACCCAGCGCTCAACCCCTGCGCCACCGGGGAGGCCCCCTCTTCCACTTTTAAAGCAAAAAATTTCTAAAGGAAAATCCAGAGTACGTGGTGCTCTTTTCTCTTTTGCTGTTATCTCCTCTCCTCTCAGGGGTTTTAGCCTTAGAGACTCATAAGGTTTAGTCTTTCAGAACTTTGTTCTTTACACTACTTGATGATTTCATGTAATCTTTATATTTGTGTACTGATTATTCCAAAATTATGGCTCAAGCTTTGACCTTTTCCCCTGAATTTCTGACTGCCTACTCAGCATTTCCGTTTGAATGTCTAACAGCCATTTTTAACTTGCTGCAAATGGAATCTTCCTCTGGCCCAAACCTACTCTATCTGAAATCTTTTCATCCTTCAAGTTGCTCGAACCAAACCTGAGTCCTTGATTTCTCCATACCCTCCTATTTCAGATGTAATATGTTGGGCCATCTTCTTTTTTCTACCTTCAAAATAAATCCAAAATATCATTACTTCTCTTTATTTCCGTGGTCTGCTATCATTTTCTATATGGATTATTGCAAAACCTTCCTAACTGGTCTCCTTGATTTTATCCTTTGCTTCCACTGTTCTCAAAAGTGCAATCAGAACTCCCCTTTTTACTACGTAAGGCAGATCATGTCAGGTTTCTGCTCCACAATCTCTAGTGCCATTCCAGCTCATACAGAGTAAAATTTGAAGTCCTTGGAATCATCTACAAGTCTCCACCTGGTCTTTTTCCCCCTCCCCTTTACTTATCTGATCTCCTTTTCCACATCTCACACCCCAGTTCTAGTCACTCTGGTCTCCTTGCAATTCCTTGAGTATATCAGAGACTTCCTTGTACATTAGCTTCTTCTGCATCAAATACTTTCCCCCACATACCTATGTGCCTTACTCCGTTAACTGTTGCTTCTTTAAGTCTTTGTCCAAATGTTTTCTCTCAATAAGGTCCACCCTTTTACATTTAAAGTTGCACATCTTCTTACCTTACAGTACATTCTTTCTCCTTTCCTTTTACTTTGCTTTTCCCCATATTATGGATCACCTTTGAAAATGCTGCATGACTTATCTTTTCTTTCCCTGTCTTATTTTATATCTATTAGAATGTAAACTCCACAAGAGCAGGCATTATTTCTGTTTTGCTCACTATTATATTCCTAGTATCTGAAATAGGGCTAGCATGGAAGAGATGCTCAGTCATTTTTCGGTTAATTTAATAACAGTGGCTACTGTTCATTTTCACTGCAGGATATATTTCATTGTATGAATTTAAAACCTTTATTGTTTACTCATTCTGATTATATTCTGGTAATTTCTCTCCCTCCTTCTTGCATTCCCTCCCGCTCTCCCTCCCTCTTCCTTCCCCCACTTTTTTTTTCTTTTTCTACCATAGTAAACCATTCATGATTCTTCATTTACAAATGTCTTGGTGCACAGATGCAGGAGTTTCTCTAGAATGTGAAACTACTAGTCAAATTACTAGGTCACAGGACTTGCTGATATCAGCTTTATTTGATCACACCTCCCTTTATCAATGTGGTTCTACCAATTTGCATTCCTGCTTTCATTACTCTATATTTTTGCCAAAATTTAGTATTATCAGAACACTTAATTGTCCCACCCCCCACCATCTGGTGGGCATGCGTTGTTATTTCATTATTGCTCGCATTGATTATTAGGCATATTGTGTCTGGTATCTGTAAAGATAGATTAGGTTAGGCTATGGTAACAATAATTCCCAAATCACATTGACTTCATGCAATAAAGATTTATTTCTCATTCATACTAAGTTTCCTATGGAAACTGAAGGCAACTCTCAGGGAAACTGGTCTTAGTAACTTTGAGATCTAAATGCAGAGAATCTCATGACTGTGGGTAGCTTCATAGGCTGTCTTTTTTTTTTTTAATTTTATATATTTTTACATCATTTTTCATTTTTGCACAATGTATACATTTTTATCTTGGTTATAGTCCCCATAGAATTCCCACCCACCTTGATTTGATCCTAACTCCCTCTTCCCCACCTCCCCCCTGTAGTATGTCTGTGGTTTATAGTTATTTGTTGATTTTGATTTTAACTTTATTTTAATTAGTCTTTTTCCCTAGCCACTTATTTAGGTTTTCTAAATTCCTGCTATGAGTAAGACCATCTGGTGTGTTTCTTTTTCTTTCTGGCTTATTTTGCTGAGTATGATCCCTTCCAGCTCTATCCATTTTGCTGGAAAGCTGTGTGGAGGTTCCTCAACCTGCTAAAGATGGAGCTTCCATATGATCCAGCAATTCCATTCCTAGGTATTTACCCAAAGGACACAAAAACATTAATTCAAAAGAGCTCC